ATGACCCTAAGATTTCTTTCTTTCTTCCTTTCACGGGTGATGGAGTATGACTCCCAATGTTTTTATGCGTGAAGGAAATCAGTACTCCGATCCTTTGCTCCCTCTTTCCACCAACAATAACTACTCCCCCTTGTACCTCCTCCACACCCAACAACGTTATTAAACTTGTGGCCATTGTTTTTTCCTACTTTTATTTCTTGTTTGTTTGTTTTCCTTCCCTCCTGGGCCCCACCCGCATATGGTGGTCCCAGAACCACTCTTGTCCACCCAAAACAAAATACCAAAATATTGCATTACACATTTACACCAACAAAATCCAACACTTTCAATCCACCCTAAGAAACTAATTTTTTAAAAGAATATATATATATATATATATATATATATATATATATATATATATATATATATATATATATATATATATAATTTAATTTATTTTTTTTAAACCAAAAAATTGAAAAATAATTCATTTGATTTTGATATTAAATTGTCTTTCAACTTCACTTTAATGTTATTCTGATTTCATATATAGATTATTACAGAATACTTATATAAATCAAATGAGAATATATGCTAAACTTTGATGCTTTTCATATATCAATAAAATAGTTGTAATAATACTATATAAAGAGCATAGTCAAGATGTTAAAACGTTATGAAATAATACTTTTACATTCCCAATTAAACTAAGAGGTAAAGTGCGGCCAGATTAATTTTTTTTATACGAGAGAAAATTCGAATTCTCAATCTATTTAAGAGACGAGAGTACACGACCACTCACGCTAACCAGGCTGGTTAGTTACTTGACTAATGAATTAATTAAATAATTAATCTGTTCGGAAGTGACAGGAGAAATTGTTTATACAATAAGTACTTACGTGGCAAGTGGATAAACGAAGGGCGGCAGGAATGAGTGACGTGGCCAAAAGTGCAAAAAAGAGAGCTGAGAATTAATGGCTAGCAAAAACAGATAACCTCAATAATCAAAACGATAAAATAAGAAAATAAATAAATAAATAAAAAGACAACTCATCAGTTTTCTCATCCCCACAAAAAAACGTACCACGCTTTTCTCTGCGCTATCCACTCCCCCTCCCTCGCTCTCTCTCTCTTTCTTTCCTCTTCATATTTTTAGAGGCTATAGATATTTTAGATTTTCTTGGAGTCACACAAAATAAGATAATTAGGAAAATGATTTTTGTAGTCCGTGATATCTTTTTAGGCATTTAGTTAAATATAATCGTCATCAATTTTAGCTTTTGTATGATTGTATGATCACCAAAGCAATATTTTTTTTATTCTTTTACTAACGATTTTGTTAAAATTTATTACCCCGTCTCATTTTATGTGTGTTTAACGAGACTTGACTAAAGTCATTTACAATTTAATTTTTCATAATATTAAGTTTAGTATTAATATGTAAAATTTATCTATTTAAAAATTACATTACAAGTACTATTAAACACACAATACTAAATTTAAAAATTATAAGAAAATACTAATGGTGACTCGATATGAATTTAGGTCGAGTAGACGAGCAATCCAGGTCGGTGATGGTTGAATTGGGCTATACTCAAATACGGGACTCAATACCGACCAAGTGTATATTACAGTTCGATATGTGATAATCCTATCAAATGGCAATGAAATTACAAAAGTGTCATTTTTTTCAAGATAAAATGGCGCATTACATTTTTTTATTTGTAATTTCGGGAAAAATAAGATAATTGTTGGTGATAATTGATTGAGTGGATATTTATGTTAGGTCTATTTGTGTGGAGTTGGATTGCATTTAGAAGGGCGAGGAGGGTGTGGTGGGAATTTTGTCCTGGCTGGATAAGGCCAAACAATCTATGCTCTGTTTAGCTATCATTAAAATCCCACCACCACCACTTTTGATTTTTTTTTTTTTTTTTGAATGCGATTTCTCATTATTGACTTCACTATTCCACTTTGAATGTTTACTCGTTTCTAGAAAATATCTTACCGCCGTTATTTTTTGGACAATTTTTTTTTTTCAAGTTGTATCATAGATTATTATGATATCATTATTTTATATTTTACTAATAATATAATTTTGAATTGTAAAAGGTAACCAAGTGAATAAAATATAATTTATATGTTTGAATGTTAGAAGTTCAATTATTGGTAATACTCTTTTTATTGAGTTTATGTAGTGGGTTGTAGACTATTACACAAAATTTGTAGGTTATTACACATGAATATAGACACATTATAATTGATATATTAAATAGAATGGTTCATACCCAAAAATAGGCCGGGTCGAAGCTAAAAAAAATTTCTCCAATGATAGGTAAAAATAAAATGCTCTAAAGTATTCAAACTGGATTTGACCTTTTGTTGACCTATACATCATTATAAACATACTTAACCACTTAAGCTAACTTATCTATTACTAATTTTTTCTATATTACTTATTTATATTTAAATATTTACTCTCTCTCTATATATACACACAAGCTAAGAGACACTTATATATAGGGGGTGGGGGAAGGGGTAACTGCCTGCATAGTATATCTGCCCTGTCAAAAATCATATCCAACATGCATGATTCATATACTTAAAAGTCACAAATTTAATTATTGTCAATGTTTTTTTATTGTTCATTTATGATTTACCCCTAGGGTTTGCCTAGAGTTGAGGTATTAAATAGAAAGGTCTATACCCGTCTCCCTCCCTCTTCTATCTCTTTCCAAAAAAAAAAAAAACAAAAAAACAAAACACTTAGCAAGCGTGTTTCAATTCAGAAAACACATAGTAAGGGGGTGTTTGGTTGGATGGAAAATATTTTCCATGAAAAATGTTTTTCTAAAAGTGAAGAAAAATGATGTTTTATGTTGTTTGGTTGGATGGAAAACATTTTCCATTGGAAAAAGTTTTCCTTAAGGATGAGGAAAACCAATTCCTAACCCATCATAGGCATTGTTTTCCATGAAAAACTAATATGACAATTTTATCCTCACCATTCTTTATTGATTACTCTTATTATTAATGTTGTGTAAGGTTATATTTGTCATTATACTCATTATTCCTTATCATTCCAAACTCAACCAAACAATTGAATTCATATTCCCAGTAATTTATTTTCCGCCAACAAAACAACGAAATCTATTTTCTTGGAATTTATTTTCCATAGAATTTTAATTCCATTTTCCTTCAAATATTTTCTAGTGAACCAAACGAGCTGTAAATGTATTACACTAGAATTGTAACGAGTGCACAAGTATAGAAAAATCGTATTGATTTTGCCAAATACATTTTTTTTTGAAAGCGAATAAGATGATTGTATTAATGAATCAAAGTAGTAATAGAGTCAGGAGGGATAGAATCCCAATACATAGACTGATCCTGAGTAAAAGCTAAAGAATGTAGAGTATGTGCATGTAAATTAATCTCCATGTGCATTGTTCGTTAAATCTCCATAGCCTCCGCCATAAGCGGTGAGAAGCAGGCCGATAGCTTTCCATTTTTTGCTGCCACAAACGAGCCCTCCGAAGAGAGTAGCACAATGTCGTACGTGGCCTCCCCGGTGTCCTGCCGGAAACCGGCGTCCACGTAGCACCGTGGGCCTTCCGGCACTTCGCTTGTTGTCGTTACCGCTGGCGTGGGCTGTGTGGGGCGGTGATGCACCTGCCGGGACGACTGCATGGCGGTAGCAACCCTCCTCCAAACATCGCTAGAGCATGGGAGAGCCCCCTTCCACATGGCTGAATTCTGCTTGTTCCACAAGTTGTACAACACGGACACCATGAGTCAACATTGTTCCTCCGTCAAGACTGTCAAAGCACCCATTAGCCATGTTGAAAAGGAAGTGGTAACAATATTTGTGATAGGTAATTGTGTAACATTCCAAACAAGTCTACAATATTCACAAAACTGAAAACACTAAAGCATGCATAACATCTTCATGATCCAAATCACACATTTGGCATGTAGGACTCACTTCCACCTTCTTTATAATCAAATTGGTAGTAGTAGAGAAAATATCACAAATTGCTACCCATAAAAATGTCTTTCATTTGGGAGGGACCTTTAGTTTCAATAGTTTAGCCCATTTATCAAAAGCACCCAGGACACACACATAATCCCCAACAATTTTTCTATAGGCATTCTTTACCGAATAAATCCCTTTATAGAGTCACCAAACTAATACCATGAGTCCTTATACTCTGGACTAACAGAAATTTTAGATATTCGTGTTACATCCTCAATAATAAATAAATCAGATAAAATATGAGAATCCCAAATATATTTAATTTATCTAATCACTATTATTTTTGAGGTGTATACCCGTATTGATTAAACTCGTTAATACTCTATTTCTAAAGAAATATATTTAATATTTAATAATATCTTGTTAAATATTTAAAAAAAAATCTAAATTAGATAGTTAGGGAGATGGTATTATTATTATAGTGTTGGTACTTGGTACACTATTAGGTAGGGTTTGGGAATAAGATTTTTAGGAGATTTTTAAAAAATTAATAAAAATAAATAGGGATTAAGTGTGCTTACCGAATTAGCGGTGAAATGAAGTTGCTATCTCACAAACAAATTTTCAATAAAGTGTAGTGGTACAGCATGTCCGGGCGGGCCCCAATTTGGCGAAACAGGCGTCCATCCACAAACTGTTCGCCACGTGGGGTTCAATATGGGGAAGTATACTGTTTGGTTCGGTACGCGCGGAGTGAGGTTTAGTGAGAGAAAATAAGTTTTAATAAAATGGAAATAAAAAAGGGAAAAAGAAGCGGTGGTGTCGCTGCCTGACATGAATAGGCCACGTGTGAGGGTTGTAGCTTTGAACCTGAGCCACAAGATCCCATGGATTTCTCGACAGTTCTATTGGAATTACGAAACGACCCTGGATTTTTAACGGAATTGCGTTTTGACCGCTCTGACGTGGCGCCTTCTGCTTCTTCTTTTTCTCCCTTCCGCCTTCTCTCTCCTACCTAAATAATTTTTTTTTTTCCTTCTCTCTACTCCTTCATCTTCTCCTCTGAGAAAAGAGTTTAATCTCTGCTTCAAGATCGAAGCTTCGAGCTTTTCCGTTCACTGAAACACCTTTTTTTTCGGCAGTTTTGCTGATTTTCACCGTACCCTTTTGTTCAATCTCCGTGCGTTTCTGGGAAATTTGGTGTGTTCGTGAAATTCCCTTATTTTGTTCTGCAATTATCTATAAATTTTTGTGGCTTATATCGGCGTCAGTTTCCGATTTTTCTCCGTTTTTAAGTTGAATCGAGCAGTGTCTGAGCTTATCCCTTTTCCTTAATGAGGAAATCTAGTCTGGGATTATGTGTGAACATGGATTTCAGCTCTGTTTTGGGTAATTGAACCATTTGATCTTTGAGATTCCTCGGATATTCGGAGCTGGAAGAGATTTTTTCTTTCTTTTTCTGGGGATCAGAGTTGGCTGATTTGGAAAAGAAGAATGATTTTTTATTTGGGACTATATTCATCCCAATAAAAGTGTGAAGAAAGATTTTTCTCCTCTGTTCTCGGAAACATCAGCTGTCGCCGGAGCCGTCGTCGTCGGGGAATTGATGGTGTCGACGGGAATGACTGTACAGGTAAGATACTGTTTTTCTGTTTTCTGTTTTATATTACTCATAATTTCCTTTTCCTAAATTTATTGCTCCGTACTAGAATATTTGAAGTGACAGTGAATTTCCTATGATTAATACTGAATTTGGGATTATATTAATGGATTAGGAGTTGTCACAAATGTAGTTTAATTACCCTTTTTAGTCCATCATGAAATTTTCCCTGCTTACAGTGACTTTCTTTTCATAGTTTCTTACTGGATTTGGAAATCTAGGGTTGAATGTTGCCTGATTTGGTAATAAATGCATTAAAAAACTATAACTTGTTCAGGAAAAAAAAAAGTTTATGCCATTGCTCCCTCCTGGAAATGGTGAAAAAATATGGTCAGAGTTTTGATCCCAACTTTTGTATGATCTTTCCCCATATACTGTGTGTGTGGTTTTTGTGTGTAACATTTCATTGAGCCCGACTTGGGATCTTAGCTGGCAAAGGATCACAAGGACAGGCCACCTGAAGGTGTGGTTTGAAGCACGCTTTTTGACCCTAGCGGTCAAAGGTCCACAAGGAGACAAACTAACCATAGCTAACTGGTTCAAACCAAGTGTATAACTTTACCGTTCATGTTTGTTGGTTGTGATCATATGGCTTTTAACTAATGAAGATAGTCATGATTAGCAATTAAGCGTGAAAAATGCATTAAATTGAGTCTTGAGATGCAAAGCGAATGTTCAAGATCTTTGCTATTTTCGATAGAGGAATCTGTTGCTCACTGACTTTAATGGCTTCGGCTATGCACAATGTAGGATCAAAATGGAGGGACAAGCATCCCTGCTTCGACTGATATGGGAGTTTCGGCTGCTAGGAGCATCCAACACCTCACCCCTGCAGATGAACATGCTCCGAAGGTATATGTGCTTTTCGGGACTGCTTTTAATGTGGAGAGATGTTATGCCAATGCGGCAGTGTACTTAACTATCTGTTTTACGTGTAAATAGGCAAGGAAACCGTACACCATCACGAAACAAAGGGAAAGATGGACCGAGGAAGAGCATAACAAATTCCTCGAAGCCTTGAAACTGTATGGTAGAGCGTGGAGGCGTATAGAAGGTAAACTCTCGGTACTTGTGTCGCTCTTTTCTGGTCACCACGTATGCTGATCTTGTTGAACTGAAAAGGATTTACTGTTGTGTCCAGAGCATGTGGGCACAAAAACAGCAGTTCAGATTAGAAGTCATGCTCAGAAGTTTTTCTCAAAGGTTTACAACAATTAAAATCAGTTCCCGTTCTCTCCCATATTATCTATATATATATATATGCCGCCGTGTTTTTATGACTCCAAGGTGTGCAAGTATAACTAGAGATGCATCTATGTCGGTGAATATTATGTTAATACTAGTGCGTTTTGTATTGGTCAGGTTGTTCGTGAGTCGAATGGTACTGATGTGAATTCTGTGAAACCCATTGAAATACCTCCTCCTCGACCGAAGAGAAAACCAATGCACCCTTATCCCCGCAAATTGGTGATTGCGGGTGGAGCCCCAGCCCAAGAGAAACTAACGAGTTCTGTACCCTCTAATTTATGTCCCGTAGAGAAAGAAAACCAAGAAAACCAATCTCCTACGTCAGTATTATCTGCACTTGGTTCTGAAGGCGAAGGCACAACGGACTCCACGCTAAATGGTAGCCCGCCTCCTGTTTCGTCAGCTCTCGGTGACAGTTCTTCGGGCTTTCTACCTTCTGAGCAATGCAATTTGTTGCAAGAAGAGAACAGATCTTCTTTGCCTGTCCAACCGAGTACTAATCCCGGTCCGGATGAGCAACCATTTGCGGTAATTTACCCATTTCTCTTGTCTTTGAATGGCGATTGCCCTCTGAGTAATGTCGTCTTATGCCTAATTGCGTTTTTTTGATCCATATGTGTAGAGGCTAGAATTGTTCCCGCAAGAAAATGGATTCGTCAATGACTGTTCAACCGAGGCATCATCCACCTACAGTCTGAAGCTCTTTGGGAAGACGGTTTTAGTGACTGATTCTCATCGACCATCGTCCCCGACTTCTGGGACCTCTAAGACACTTCCAACAGAAGCAAACGACGAGGTAGCAACACAATCATTACCTTGGACTTTTGCTCCGATGAAAATTTTGTTCGGCAGTCCCGAATGCACATCTACCTCTCTTTACTACCCGCCAACACAGATTGAATATTCCAATACTGTGGAAAGCGTTCTCGCTCCTTCCCTACCGTGGGGTTTGCCGTATGCAACTGCATCTTTCCCTCGTGTTCAGGTGCACGATCCCATTCCAGTTAAAGCACGCCCGGTATTTGACCCCAAAGAGACGGAAGATAATGAAAACCGTAAGGAAGCATCTTCCGCCGCTTCAAACAGTGGGTCAGTAAATATTCTAGAGAAACACATTGGCAGAAACTCAGAAACCGAAACTGAAACCGAAACCGGTGAGAGCGAGGAGCAACAGTCCTCGGAAAAGATCGGGAGCGAAGTCTCGGCCTTCAGACCAACCGAGACAACTAACTTCAAACTACGAACCAGCTCCAGCAAGAGGATGAAAGGCTTCCTGCCTTACAAGAGATGTTTAGCGGAAAGAGCCACCCACTCCTCGACCATAACGGGCGAGGAAAGGGAAGAACAACGAACCCGCCTTTGTTTATAGCAGACCCTAATTAACTCGATCTCTGGGTTGTTGTTCCATTCTCATCTGTAAGCAGAGATTTTGTGACAAAGAGTGAGCATCTGACTTAGTGCACAGTAAAGAGATATAGCACTTTGGTGGGTGACTGGATTAGCATGATGCAAAAATGGTGGATCAGTAGCAGAAGCTTGTCTGGTTTTTCCTATTCTTTTCCTCTCATTAATTGTCCCAAACATATATATATGGTCAGAATAATGTCTTGTAATGTTCTCCCTCCACCTGCACATTCTGATGAACTTGCTGTGTAATATTTCCATTTCTGAACTGTATGAGGATTTTCAAGACACTTTTTGTTTGTCATGTTCATATCATCCTCTTCAAGTGTGAGATGATGAGGCCATGGCTTGTAACTGTAATATATATAGCTTCATTCTTGGAATCACAGATTGGTTTACCTAGTACCATTTACAAGAACTCTGCAATGTGGTTGCATATCATCATCAATTTCTGCTAAGGAAGACCAAACCAGACCCAAGTTTAAAAATATGACCAGTTTGTGTTCAAGGTTTGTAGATGGAGAATTGGATAAAGATCTGTTTTTGGGCTTGGAGAATTGTCTTACTTTAGTTCTAGATTCTTCTTAGCATCATATGCTGACCTTATCAAGCACCACGTAACCCTTTCTTAGATTAACAATTTCACTTTGGATAGCTTTCACTCTGAACTCTTCTCGGCTCCATTTGAATCAATATTATCAAGTATCATGTAGCCCTTTTTCACAACGCACCGACCTCTCGACCTCTCAACAAGAACACTAAATCCACCACAATATTAATTCATGAGTAGAAGTTTGACCACGTCGCACCACCGAACCTGTCACTTTCTCCGTCGTTGGAGATGGCAACAAGTTTGGTTGCCATCTCCAGTCGACGGAGATGGTTGGTCGCCATCTCCAGCTACGAAGAAGGAGGCGACCGGTTTGGTTGCCTTTTTCGGCGACTTGCTAGTCACGCCTTCGTCGGAGTTCTGCCGGTGAATTATTTACCTACTATTACAGGTTATATTTAGTGTTTTGAGTCTTAATACACTAAATTAATATGTTAATGTGTCTAATTGCAACTTTCAAATGTTTGAGGGTCTAATTGACTTCTTACTTAAAATTGGAGGGTGTATGTGACCCTTTTCCCTAATAACTTAAGTATCACTTTACAATCTCTTGAGAAACCAATAAGTGGTCTTATCATGCATTCACATGTATGCATTATTAATTATTCGTGAATGTAATATTAAGGGTCCGTTTGGAAAGCAGGAAAATGACTTCTGGAAAATGACTTTTGGAAAATGAGTCATTTTCTGGAAAACATTTTCCTTTCTTGTGTTTGGCAGCACGGCAGAAAACAGTCTTTGTGTGTTTGGTTCATTTTCGGAAAATGAGATAGAATTGTATAATTAATCATTTTATATAATTAATTATTTTATTTAAAATAAAAAAAATTATAATAAAATTTATTTTTTAAAATCAAATAATATTAATGATTAAAAAAAAAAAAAGAATACGGAAGAAACCAGAGAGAACTTCTCTCTGGTTTCTTCCAGCGAGGGAAACCAGAGAGACGTTCTCTCTGGTTTCCCTCGCCGGAAACCAGAGAGAAGGACTTCTCTCTGGTTTCCCCAGACTTCTCTCTGGTTTCTTCTGGCGAGGGAAACCAGAGAGAACATCTCTCTGGTTTTCCTCGCCGGAAGAAACCAGAGAGAAGTCCTTCTCTCTGGTCCATCTTTCACTTTTTTTTTTTTTTTTAAATAATGTTCGCCGGAAGGGGTTTTCGGCGGAGGTTTCTGTCGGAAACATTGTTGGTGGAGACATTGAGTTGTTTCTGCGTTGAAGGAGGAGGAGGAATTGAAGATAAGCAAGTGTGTGGAGAAGATGGAAAATGACTTCCCCCAAAAAAAAAAAGGGGAAGTCATTTTCCATAAATTTGGGCTCATTTTCCATTGACTTCTCTTAATTTTCCTTTGACCATTCAATTTTCAGCCTAGCCAACACCCAAAACCCGAAAAATGATTTCCAGAAGTCATTTTCCGGGTTTCCAAACAGACCCTAAGTATTTTCATTACATCATCGTAATTATAGAATTGTCCATGTGTTTTTATCTTATTTTTCCCCTTAATTTTGAATCTTTAATCATCTCAAATGAATTACCTGCAATACGTTATGACTTAACCTATAAGCGCACAACACTACACTATGTACTATACTGACATATATTAGATATAATAACAAATCTGAATTTGTCTTTTCAGTTCGAATCTTGCCAATGGTATTGGCACAGCAAAAAGAATTCGCTAAATTGAAGTTTAAAAAGATATAAAATAAACCCCAAAAGGTTTCCCCAGTACACTTGGCCTCTTTCGTAGGCATTCTAGAAAATAACAAAACTTTCAAATCAACAAATAAACATCGTTGAAAATGAATGTTAGCTGTCTTACAGAAACACTATATGTATATATGAAAATGAAAAACTGTGTGTGGTCAATATCAATGAACCAACCTCGTGCATAGAAATCTAGATAAGAAGATGAATCTTGGTCACTAAAAGATCTAGAAATGTAACAATTAGAATCAAATTTGGCACTTTTTGGAATTTTGAATCTTAGTCACTAGTAAATCACATCAAATAAATAAATTGCACTAGAAAAATCATATGTAATGTGCTTACATGTGAGAGTGTTGGTAAAAAATAAACTTGTGATTTTCAAATATAAAAATTATGTTTTTTACACTTGCCCACCCACCTTTGAGGTCTCATCCATCCTTAACCAAAGGTTAATGGTTCGATCCTTGGCTTTGGGTATGGAGCAGCCTTAAATTTTCAGGTCAGTTGTCCCACCAAGAGAGGTGCATACAATTCAACGAGGGGATTAGTCACTGCGTCTGACGGTAGAAATCCTGAAAAACACCCAAAAAACAACTTTCGAGACCTCAATTAAAAATTTGACGAATAAAAAGTAATTATTAAAGGAAAAAAATGACTCATTTTGTCTTCAATTTATACATAAATAGTATTTTTTTCATCTCTCAATTATTTACTAATAAGTCATTTTTACCCAACTCTAATAAAATTCAAAATTAACATTTTTGGTATCTTGATTATATTATCATTGTGATTATTAAAAACTTAATATTAATTAAATAATATAACATTGATTTTATGTAAATTACTTTATTGTATGCTCTTATAACTCTAGCTAATCGGTAGGTTACCATCTCTCATAATAATTAAACTTGAAATTTTATTATTACTAAGTCAATTGTTTAATTAACTTGGTTATATGTCACATTATTATTTAAAAGACTAAAACTATAGAGGTTGAATGATGTGCAAGTGTAAAAATGTAGTAAAATTATAGGTATTTATGTAAGGTAGTAATGACACGATGGGTCATGAAATTAATGGAAAGGGGTCCTAAGGAGTAAATTGGTGGTTTATTACTACTTTCTTCTGCCTACCCGAACACCAAATGCTTGTATACCACTTTTTTTTTCTTTTTTTTTTTTCTTTTTAGTACTACTGACTCTGTTATAATGCAGTATTTGTTCATAAATATTTTCTCAATCTACTGAAATATAAAGAGTTAATAGTGCGCATCCGTTAAGGCTCGAACCCATAACCTTCCATATAAAGGAACACCAAATGCTTGTATACTACTTTCTTTTGCCTATCTAAACTAATTTTTTTAGTGTAAATTACGAGGTGTTTCGGGACTTTCTCCGTATGTTTTATGGTCCGAGTCCACCCGACTAATTCCCATTCGCTCCGGGAGGCATGGAAGCTGGCCCAAAGACCTTGAGATCGTCCCCACAAAGAAGCTCATTTGACACTTGAACTACCCCTTTAGATTATCTAAAATAATTTATGTTCTTGTAGTCATTTGTAAACTAAGGTCACAAATTAAACTTTATCCAAACACACTTACAAATAATAACAACAAGCTTTTTCATAAATAAAAATTTATGAACTTATTCGAATTATACATAATAACAACGTTTGGAATTTCATCGGTTTGTGTTTGAAACAAACTGCTGCTCCAAATTGCTGAATTACCAAACAAAAAATTTTGATGTTTTGATATGATCAATAATCCGCCATTTACTAAATAAGACGAATGTATTTTTGTGGTGTGTTAGAAATTTTCCTTCGGAAGAAATATTCTAAGGCATATTCTCCATCTCCGTGGGCGTGAAAACAGGCCCATATACGTTTACTCGCGCAATTCGGTTGGGCTTGCTTTTTATTTTTTTAATTTTTATTTTTTTTTATTTTACTTTATTCTTTAATTGTCAAACTGCCATCTGTTTCACCTTACCAGAATACCAGCTCAAACTCGCATATATACTCTTCTCCTCGGTTCTACCTTCAAGGCTTTCAAATCACTCTTCCCCGAACTCTCTAGATTGATACTTCCTCTTTCCAGATCGGAGATTTGTTCCTGTTTCTGAAATGGCTACTGCTACTATCAGCCCTGCTGATACCGAGAAGCTCTCGAAGCTTACGTCCGCCGTTGCCGGCCTTACGCAGATCAGGTTAGTGTTCCTCTCAGCTCCGCATGATCTGCTGTTTTGAATGCTTGATCTGGATCATTGTGTTGATTTTTCTGGTTGTGTTTTGTCTTCGTTTTTGCAGTGAAAATGAGAAATCTGGATTCATTAACCTCGTTACTCGCTATTTAAGGTACGGTGGAATCACTTATTTTCATTTTGAATTATGTGATGGTTAGAGTTTATCAGCTATTTATGTCGCCATTATGGAAATTTATCTTAGATTTCCAGTTTACTTTAATCTAAGCTAGTTTTATCTCTCTCCTTTTTTTTTTTTTTTTCCGAGATATGTTAATACTAAGCTGGAATAAATAAGTACCCGTTTCATTTTGTTAAATGTAAATTGTAGAATATTTTTAGTCCTGGAGAAACTGCTGCATCTATTTATACCTAATCATGAACATGTTTATGTGTTGTGACGTTTGGAAATCATAGCGGTGAAGCCCAGCATATTGAATGGGGTAAGATCCAGACTCCAACTGATGAGGTGGTGGTGCCTTATGACAATTTAGCAGCTCTCTCTGAAGGTATTGTGTTCTTTTGTCTTAACTCTATTTAGTAGGGAAAGGAATTCAGGTTTCAGATATTTTAGATTAATGATTTGCACGTGGATCCACATTCCGATCCAAAGTGTTGTTTAGAAACTTAAAATTTTGGTTTTGATCTATTGCAGATCCAGCAGAAACCAAGAAGCTCTTGGACAAGCTTGTTGTTTTAAAGCTTAATGGAGGATTGGGAACAACAATGGGATGCACTGGTCCAAAGTATGTTTTGATTCTACAATTCTTTTAATTTAAAAATAAAAATCTCATGTATATGCAAATGGCTTAGAGCATACTTAACACTTGATATAGCATTTTCATTGGCTCAGAAAAGCCCTTAAAACATATCAAGAATGTTAACAGATTTGTTTATTTATTTAGATTTTTATAAAAATTAATCCAGTTGTTGGCCATAATTAAGGTTCATATGGAGTATGATATTCTCCTATCTTATGCAATTCATGATTGTTGTTCCTCAGGACTTTTATTCGAGTCCTTAAAATACTAAACATGTTTCTGTGCTACAGGTCAGTTATCGAAGTCCGTAATGGTTTGACATTCCTTGACTTAATTGTCAAGCAAATTGAGGTATTTTGTCTTCTAATCATTTACCCAATCCATTTTCTTCTTCTTCCACTTTTGCATGCTACTAACACTTCCTGTTCCTCGTAGAGCCTCAATTCTAAGTACGGATGCACTGTGCCCCTGCTTCTGATGAATTCATTCAACACTCATGATGATACACAGAAGGTCAAATAATTTCACTGTCATATCATGTTAAATTGATGTCACAGCTTCACTCTTCCATGCTGTCTTCAAATGCCTGATGTATTGGTTGTGTATGTGAAATACAGATTATAGAAAAATATGCAAATTCCAACATAGAGATCCACACTTTCAACCAGGTACCGCAAGTGTGCTGTTACCTCAAAAGTCGTTTATGTTGGTTCACAGTTTCTGATTGATTAAGCTTTATACCACTTATGATTCTTACAGAGCCAGTACCCTCGTCTTGTTGTTGAAGACTTTTTACCTTTACCATGCAAAGGCAATGCTGGAAAGGATGGATGGTATGTGAGCTATGTATATATATTTAGTAAATGGTTTTATCTGCTTACTCTAGATTGGAAAGCTCCAATATAGTACTTGATGCTATGTTGATTTTTGTTTTTGTTTTTTCTTTGGGTATTGTTTCATGCTTCCACACAAAGCTCCTATTTGCATATTGTTGATCCATATCCAATGGTACTTTTTATGTTTTATCTTTTATTCTCTTTGAATCTTACATTCCTTATTGTCGTGATTTGAATGTGTTTAGGTACCCACCAGGTCATGGTGATGTATTCCCTGCATTGATGAACAGTGGAAAACTTGATGCCCTATTGTCAAAGGTTTGTAAATTCATGGCCTTATATTCTTTTATCAGAATAAATTTTTGAAACTTTTCACTTGTATATTGTTTTCTCAAGTTATTATCAATTAAAACTGATTGCAGGGCAAGGAGTATGTCTTTGTTGCCAATTCGGATAACTTGGGTGCTGTGGTTGATCTAAGTATCCTTCGTACTATTAGGCTTATTACAAATACATTATCACTTACTAGTAAAGACCACTATCGCTATTGCTTCCTTAATTCACTTTCACAGAGATTCTAAATCATTTGATCCAAAACAAGAATGAGTATTGCATGGAGGTATTCATGTGGATAGTTTTGTTAAAATTCTGAATACTTTTCAATCCTGAAGTTCTTCCTGTGTTATTATAAAATAATAATAAAAAAAGTTCTGAACAGTTACCTCTAAATTCTTGCAGGTTACACCCAAAACATTGGCTGACGTGAAAGGTGGTACCCTAATTTCTTATGAAGGAAAAGTGCAGGTATATCTGGTTTACTTTTGTCACTTCAACTCTTAGCCTGTTAATTTAATTCATCCCTGCCAATAAGCACTTTAATCATTAATTTAATTCAGGTGCCTCCCTAGGTAGTCCCTCTAGGTTGTTTATGCTAATTTACTAGTCTAGTTGAATTTAAGTTATGCTGATTGCTTTAGTGTTACTTATTTTGGAAGAGAATTTATGTGTGGATCTTTTAATTATTTTGGTTGGATGCAAGTTATGTTAATATCAATGGTAATTTGATGATTCCCCTTTTGGTTGGCTGGTGCAGCTTCTGGAAATAGCCCAAGTCCCTGATCAACATGTGAGTACTTGAATTTCATTGTTTCCCTTACTTTGCCTTTAATGTTTACCACTTCTGTTTAGTTGGTATGTGTGAAGCTTTGCCAACAATATTATCTAATAGTTGCAATTCTCAACTCACCCTGGTAAATTGTAGTATCTCTACAAAATTGTACTGTATTCTAGCCTATGCGTGTTGCCTCTTGGTTTTGTTCTTTCTCCTGTTGATCTTCTTGAATTACCATTTTGTGGAGTCTGGTATTTGATAGCCAACTAAAATATAATTAGATTAGCATTAAAACTTTTTTAGATTTTACCCAAATGGATGTTATGTCACCTTCACAGTGGCTATATCTCTCTTTAAAATTCAATTCTTTAGTGATTTTCGCATTGCATGCTGTTACCTTTTTTCTTTTCCCTCTTCCTCATCTCAAATGGAGTGGTTAGTTTCTTCACCCTTTTTTGATAACATGATAGTTTAGCTTAAAATTAATTCAGGCTTCTGCTTTATATTCTGCTCTTATGGGGAAACTGATTGCAAATTCATCTGACCTTCACTGTGTCAGGCTTGCTTATATTTTATATTCTGCTCTTAAACTGGTTGCAAATTCATTTGACCTTCACTGTGTTATTTTCTGTCATGCTCAAATTGAATCTTATCATGCTTGTTTCTATGTGTTCAAGAATCTTCTATGCAAGTGCATGTTTGCTGTACATGTGAATCCTAAGTTGACAGCATCTCTAATGTTGCAATACCTGTTCCATGTAGGTTAATGAATTCAAGTCAATAGAAAAATTCAAAATTTTCAACACCAACAATTTGTAAGTGGCTTGGGAACTTTTTTGAACTTGAACTTCATTACCTCTGCTCTTGTTTGCAGTGTAGATTTTTTTAATTTGTCAAACCTCATGCAGGTGGGTGAATCTGAATGCAATTAAAAGACTTGTCCAAGCAGAGGCACTCAAGATGGAGATCATTCCCAACCCCAAGGTAGTAGTTATGCAGTTAAGCATGAAATGAGGAAGATGTGGTATTTTGATAAGATTCTGACACATTATTTAATTTCTAGGAAGTGGATGGGGTTAAAGTTCTTCAACTTGAAACTGCTGCCGGTGCTGCAATTAAGGTGAGGAAAACATGCCTCAGAGCTATTGTTCAGTTTTTTGCCCTTGATATTTGATTTCTTTCATCAATTCTTTTTGTTTGAAACTTTCCCTGAACAATCTCTGATAAGTGATCTTCAACTAGTTCTTTGATCATGCTATTGGTGTCAATGTTCCCCGATCTCGCTTCCTTCCAGTAAAAGCAACTTCTGATTTACTCCTAGTCCAGGTTATTAAAGTCTTGCATTAAATTTATGGCATGTATATTCTTAAATTTAATGAAATGGCTTATTACTAACTCGATTGTGATATTTTGCAGTCTGATCTTTACACCTTGACGGATGATGGCTATGTTGTTAGGAACACTGCCCGCTCCAACCCTTCGAATCCTGCTATTGAATTAGGACCTGAATTCAAGAAGGTTAAGATTTATTCAAGCAATCAGTGTGGTATATTCATGTGGCAGCTTTCTGCATATGCAACTAATTTCTTACCTACCTTTCTAGGTTGCCGACTTTTTGGGCCGCTTTAAGTCCATTCCCAGTATTGTTGAACTGGATAGCTTAAAGGTGTCAGGGGATGTATGGTTTGGATCCGGCATTACTTTGAAGGTACTTAACATTAGCTTATGACCTTTTACAACTGGCATTATTTTGACACTTGGGACATTCTTCCCTTCGCTTTCTCTTTTTCGGACTCTAATTTGCCTTTGTTTCCTCAGGGGAAGGTCACGGTTACTGCCAAATCTGGCAAGTTAGAAATTCCAGATGGAACTGTAATCGCCGACAAGGTAGTCCACTGTGCCTCTGCATTCAACGAACTTTTCCGATGTTATAATTTCTGGCTTTCTGCTTACTTCTATCACATTGATATTGCAGGATATGGAATGAGCTGCTTTTCTTGTTGATGATGAGTATATCAAAGGCACACCATGTGTGTTTTCCCGGTTGCAGTGATTGTAGATTTTGATATTTCAAAAATAAATGTGTCAATTTTGTAATGCCTTTAAGAGCATGAGCTTCTTGCATATGACGTATTGTATTAATATTCAAACTTGCTATGCTTCCATGCAAAAGCTAATACTATATGTTGCAATGTTTTCCTGAAAACCAATTGCCTTCTGAAAAGCAATGGAACCTCACGGTTCATGTGAAATTATAGTTTTATCACTTTACATCATTACTAGCAACTTTGCTTCACTTTGTTTTCAGCATGATAACAGAAACACAGTTTGAAAAGAGTAAGCAATTTCGGCCGAAACACAATACACAGTATCCAAATTGCCTACCATGTTCCCACCCTCTCGATGTAATGACGGCAGTAATTAAGTTCAAATTTTATGAACGAAAATAAGATATTAAATTCAGATCCTATAAATAAAGGTAATTCCGATCCTGCGATTGTGTGGTATTCAACTGTTCATCAGTAAGTAAGATGCTTGGCAACTCAGCCAAGTTTATCTTAATTTGGAATTGGTAATTATAAAATTATAAGTTTTTCTTAAAGAATAATGAACTAATCTTATTATTTATTATTTATTAATTAGGGAGAGTTTACTTAATATACATCCATAGGCGTCAACTAGATGTCATAGAATATACGGAGTAGAATTTAACTTGCAAGAGATCGGCGCATGATTTTTGCTCTTTTCACTTTGCAGTTTAAATGTTCACAAACAATCAAAGGCAGGAAGAGCGCACGGGGAAGTATGGAACTCCCAGAGTGCAATACCTTCAGGTAGGTCGTGACTACTGCTTCGTTTTCATGCAATTATGACTATTCCTTTCCTTTTACGAGTATGGATGTTCCATCAAATTTGTGTGCCTATAACTTGTTCCAGGAACTGGTGTCTCGGTTTCAAAATGCATCAGATGAAGGTAATGCATCTTTGAAGATCAATTCTCAGTTTCTTATTTCAATTTCTCTGACTAGGGCATCTGCACAAGTCTGCCCATTAGCTGCTCGATAAATTGCTAAAATGAAGCATTCTGTTAGTCCTATTGAAGTCCTTAAGAATTTATAGTTTATTAGAATTTATTGGCGAGATTTCTGAAACTAATACGTCTGATTGTATGTTATATTGCACTAAATAGGTTTAGAGCTGAATATGGTGCCTGTTGTGACGAATATCTTTTCCTTCTCTTAGAGATTTCTTTGTTGGTTTACTTACACGTTCTTATTATTGTTTACAGAGACAAAAGAGCAGATAGTTGCTAATTTGGCAAACTTTGCATATGATCCATACAATTATACTTTTTTGCGCCAGGTTCTGAAAGATCTTTATACGGTCTGCTTTTGTTAATTAAATTCTGCTCTCACTAAAACAACTGTTGTGAACTTGTGATTTTGAACAGCTTAATGTTATAGAGCTTTTCCTCGATTGTATGACCGAGGAGCCTAACGAGAGGCTTGTGGAATTTGGTGTTGGAGGAATCTGCAATTGCTGTGCAGGTATGATATCAAGTTTGTGGCTGTGATCAATAACTCTTGCTCTGCTGCAAAGAGTTTGTTCTTTGAATGTGTTTGCCTCATGTGCTGCAGTTTTATATGCAGATCCAGCGAATGCTGCACTTGTCACTCAGAGTGGTGGGATCCCTCTTGTCATACAATGCCTATCAAGCCCTGTTAGAAACACGGTAAAGAAGATTATATTTATGTTGTTAAGATAATCAAGTGTTTCTATAACATGAGTATAAAATTTGTGTGTGTTGCATCAAAATTGGAATAGCCTCCTGTTAATGAGCAATAGAGTTTGAAGATTTTTGCTCTGACTCATTCTTGATAGTGTTATTTCCCTGTTTTAAAGTTTGTTCACTCCAACCAGCTTGGTTGGCGTGAGTGGTTGTGCACTCTCATCCCTTAAGAGAAGTCGGGAGTTCGAAACCCCTCTCGTATGGAAAAACCAATCTGGCCAACGGGCTTAAAGGTGCCTCCTACCGTTAGAGCCTGATCAGACACCTCATGGCCTGACCAAAAAAAAAAAGTTTGTTCATTCCATCTATTTGTCAATATTATATTCTTGTTAGTTGTTAGCAGCCTGACAGGACAATCACTTTTTTTAAAAAAATAAATGTGACTGATTACCAAATTTGAGAATGAATTTGTGTAATTGGAAATGAGACTAATCACCTAATTTGATAATGAATTTGTGTGATTGGAAAAGAAAGAGAGAAAACACCCCAACAACACCAACTTTATGGTATGATGATACCACTTTGTTTTCCCTTCATGGCAAGTGCATATCCAGATGATTTTATGTTGTGTCAGTTCAGAATCCCTCTGATTGTTATCACATTTTGCCATTTGCTTTTGCCTTTCTGGCATTACTATCACTATAGTTTTACGTCTCCTATCAGTATAAGGAGTGGTGAGCTTTTAATGCTATCAGCCTCTCGGTCTGAAGTTTGGACATACACATTTCTTTTAAAAAAAGTGAAATTGATCTTAAGATATTTTAATCATAAATTGGCAGGTGAATTACAGTCTTGGGGCATTGTATTATCTTTGCAATGCATCGAACAAGAAAGAAATCTTGAAGCCGGAAGTAGTAGATGTGATCAAAAGGTATGCTGCAGCTGGTGAAGTTAGTGTAAGTTTCAGTAATCTGGCACAAGCGTTCTTGGATAAGCACATCTCAGACCTCAAGTAAGTTGTCACTGTCGAATATTTATGTATGCAGTTTGAAAAAGAACTTATAATTCTTTTGATAAAAAAAAAAAACTTATAATTATTTATCAATAATTTGAATATGTTAAATATCTTGTGGTCTAATGTTACTACTATTATTTTTCATAAAGAGAATTTTAAATTGAGTTTCATTTCAATTAAGATTGGCGTGTACTTATATGTGCACACTTATTAATCTACATTCCTGTGAAACTACTTGTCTAAATTCAGTTCAATTATAATTCTAAGTTTCATGGTTTGCATTGGCAAAACATGTATTCAGTCACTTCCTAAAATTTAGCAACTTTTATTAATTGATCCACGGATCTTGCTCGGTTTTTCGGACTAACTGTAGTAAGTTACGTGATTTGACATACATCTTTTGGATTCCATTAATAATAAAATGTATCTTTTGAGCCAAATTCTAACTTGGTTTTGGAAGGTGTATTTTTATTTTAGTATGTCCAACTATGGTGGGGAATTATATCTTCATTATTTAGTTGGACTTTAATTGGAACCAAAAATTGATTATTTAGTATGTCCAACTAATGGTGGGGAATTATGTCTTCATTTGTTAGTTGGTCAATAAATCAGTTATGAGTATGTATGTTATTAAGTTCACTTTATTAATTTCGCTGAAGAATATTTTAATCAGTGGGAGTGATCATTTAGAAAAAGATCATTAAGATACTCCACTAAAGCTTATGGATTTAATTGGCTACATACGTTTCAAATTGGATTGTATGTTACACAATAAGTCCATAAGATTCCACAAGTATTAATATTGTATTTGTTCATATAAATTCATAAGTTCAAATTATTGAACATTCGGTTGTGCAACATATTTATGAAAATGTTGCAACAATATTATGAAATTTATTAGAACAAAAGCATTTAACTTGTGGGACACTGTCATTTAATAAATTCTTCAGTGATTAGTAGAGTCTTTAGTTTCTTCAAAATTGATCCTGGGCCATTTCAGTTGTAAGGCTCAAAACAATTTTGTGGGACATAAAAGTAAGACTCATTATGTTTAGTTCATTTAAAATGAACATTGAAGTTATTTGGGAAGTTATGGTGTATGATTAAGATTCCAAATTTATGGACTTAGACCTTTGGTTTTTTGTCTAAGTTATTGGAATGCTTCTGTGACTTGACTATCTTTTGGCTATTTTTGATGAGTGGGAGTGACAGACGTGTCAACTCCAAGCTCTTAGCTGTTAGAGATAGTACTTAAAAGTTAACTTATAAAGAAGTCATGGAATATAGTAATTTTTATCGAAAATTTGAGCACCTAACCTATGGTCCATCCAAAATTTAAAAAATAATAATAAAACTGGGACCGAATGACCGATGACATATACTCCGTAATAAATAAAACTCCGTAATAATAAATAGAAGAGAGCATGGCCTGCAAAAGTGGGCGCCATGAATCATGATTTCACCAAACTCTATCGCGAAGCCATCGAATACTTCTAGAAACGGTGAGCAAGACTTTTAAAAGGGCCTATCTTTAACATGGATTTTTGTTTTGTTTTGTTTTTTTTTTTCAACTTTACTTTTCACCCATATTTTTCATTGTATGTTTCCACTTTTCCATTATCTAAATGTGAACTAACATAAAGGGAATTATTTTTATAATGTTTTTTTTTTTTTTTTTTGCATTTTCCATTTATAAAGTATTTTCCAACTTCTAATTTTTTTTTAAAAAAACTGAACTAATAAATATGGAAAAAAAAGTACTATAACAATTAACAATGAATAATGTTAGAAGACCTACAAATAGAAATGTTTCTAATTTCATATTTAATTAATTGTGATAATTGTGGTTCAACCACTGTCCTAGACACTTTTAATTGTAGTCTCATGATGAAATTTTCTAAAGCGACAATAATATCTTTAGTCGGAATCAAAATTCCAAACTTCAACCACTACAATTCAACTAAAGAAAATCCTAGAGGAGGCAAGGGATCAGTTGGTAATTTCACATTCCAAAATGCCATGGCTTAATAATTAGTGTATAAAGTTAAATATACCACAACCTTTTATATTTTAAGTAATTTGATTTATTAATTCATGCCCTAGCTCCATACTCAGGGAGTTCGAATGCAACTTTAATTTACGGAAAAATTTGTCGGTCACTATTCGAAGATGCATACATTCTAGGTGAGATTTGACTTGTGAACTCTACTCACTATATGATCGTAAAGAGATAAATCAGCTTAAATTATCACTGATCACTTAAATCAAAAAGATCAATAAACAATTTATACATAAACGTGAATTTAAAACTTTGTGTTATTAATTATTTGTTAATTATTTTTTTTTTTAAACAATAATAACAATTTGATAAAAATTGATTCATATAACATTATCCTTATCTCGTAAAACAGAAAAATCAATCATTCTCAATAAATACGTGGGAATGCGATATTTTCCATTCTGTCATTTGTGTGAAGAGAAAGGTCAAACGCTCAAACCAAGAGTCGTAAAATGACCAACACTCGGAATTTCGTTTAACAAAAAATAAAAAATAAATAAAAATCTAAACTCTCCCCGCCTTATATAAAGCACTCGAGATCTTTCATTTCTCTCCTCTCCGTTGCCTCTGCGCCCACCTACTTCACCGCTCTCTACTTACTCTCTCCAGTTTCTTCGCCGCCGGAGATCTCTCCTGTAATCTCCGAATCTCTCACACTAGCCTGAGTTTGATTCTCCGATCCATCCGGAATGGCTTTCGAGAAGATCAAGGTTACCAACCCCATCGTCGAGATGGACGGTGAGATCTCTCTCTCTTTTCCTTTCACCTCTCCGATCTGTTGATTGCTCTGTTTTCATGTCGGCTTGCATCGCTCAGATCTGTGCTAAAACGCTATTTCCGTGGTCGTGGTTGCAAATCGTCTGAAGACTTTGATATTTTTTTTTTAAGCATGAAAAGTCGTTGAAATATATGTTATGATGAAAAGTATGGATGCTGTAATCTGTAGGAAGAATATCATTGTTCCTGCTTTGCATTATTATTATTTATTTTTTTTTTTTGTGTGTACTTTCAACCATAACATCTAGTATCTGTGAACTGGTGGGACATTATGTCAGAGATACTAATAGCTGGAAAAGTAAATAACTAAATATCTTTTCAGCATCGGTTTATATTTCATCGTTCTGATTTTTATTTTATTTTTTTTTTTAAAATACTTTAACAAGTTTCTTATCTTGAAATCTGATATCTTCTAAAAAAAGCTTTAATTATTGAAGTATTGACTTGGAGGTCTTAGATTTCATGACGATCTTTGTTGGAAGTATTAATTTTCAACAGTTGGTATAATTTTTTTTTTCTTTCGTAAGTCTATATATATTTATGAAGTCATGAACCTTGAGTGGCTAATCAGTAATGCGTTGACTATTTTAAGTGCAACTCAACTGTAAAGCACTAAAGCATCCTCCTTTTCTTATTTGTTTTTCTGAATATTTGTAACCAGGGGATGAAATGACCCGAGTGATTTGGCAATCAATCAAGGATAAGGTAACAAGTTTTCCTGGTTAATAAGCATATTGCATCTTCTAATAATTATAAAGTTGCTTATATATGTATGGATTTTCTTGTGCATGCTTTAGCTCATTCTGCCTTTTCTGGAGTTGGATATAAAGTACTTTGACCTTGGCCTTCCTCACCGTGATGCCACAGATGATAAGGTTACAGTTGAAAGTGCAGAGGCTACCTTGAAGTATGTCTGAACCTTTTGTGTCCTGTAATTTATTGGAGATATGATAGTCTGATTGCAAATCATGATATTGTATATGACCTTAAATGACACTGGATCTGTCATGATCAGTATTTTCTTTCTGTTGATGTTTAATTATTTTGTAATTGTAGGTATAATGTAGCAATTAAGTGTGCAACAATAACTCCAGGTTTGTATATCTGCTTATCATTGGAATAGGAACTTCATTTTACTTATAAAAAAATCTTTGGTTTTACTTTTTGGTCTTTGGTATTTTTTGAAAATTTAATATGGTGATGAATTGATGATACAATGTGATTCTTGTTTGCAGATGAAGCTCGTGTGAAGGAGTTCAGCTTGAAGAATATGTGGAAGAGTCCAAATGGGACAATTAGGAACATTTTGAATGGTGATTTTGTGTATTCCTGTTTGACATTTGTTGCTTAAAATTTTTTTCACTGTTAGTTAATGGTGGATAATGGGTTTTTTCATACAGGCACTGTATTCAGAGAACCAATTCTTTGCAAGAACATTCCCCGCCTTGTCCCAAGTACTGCTTTTAAGATTCTTGAAAGTTAAATCTTTTGTTCCTGCCAGTGCTGTAAATGTGCAAGTTACATTCTTTTTTCATTCATCAGGTTGGAACAAACCAATATGCATTGGAAGACATGCATTTGGTGATCAGTACCGCGCAACTGATGCAGTTATTCAAGGAGCTGGAAAACTCAAACTTGTTTTTGGTAAAAGCCTTTCTTAGACTCTTTAAAAATTTATTGGTTTCATCTATCTGTAATGTTGTGAATCTTCTTTGCTTTCTTGTTCTTTTCCTACTGATTTTATGTATTCTCCTCATGGATATTTATTTGTGCTTCCAGTACCAGAAGGTAAGGATGAAAAGACTGAGCTAGAGGTTTTCAATTTCACTGGGGCTGGAGGAGTTGCCCTTGCCATGTACAACACAGATGAGGTTTGTTTGTAGTTCTCTCATGTTTCTTGTTTTTCTCTGATTTTATTTGAATGTTTTCTAGGGGATCAGACATGTTAAATTTGTGTTGCTGTTGACTAACAATGTACTGTTTTCTTCTTTATAGTCTATTCATGCTTTTGCTGATGCTTCAATGAATATGGCATACCAAAAGAAATGGCCCTTGTATCTCAGTACAAAAAATACCATTCTCAAGAAATATGATGGGAGGTAATCCACTTTTCATCTCCATTGGATTTCTTTTATGTTTTACTTGTTTACCAAATACTATTTCTTCCTTTTAGCTAAACCTAACATTTTCATGAAGGTTTAAGGACATCTTCCAAGAAGTCTATGAA